CGTTATCTTGAGAAAAGAAAAACGGAGCTAGAGGAATCACGCTCTCTGATTCAGACTATACTACAAAGCTACAGTAATCAAGAAAGTGTGGTACTGGCACAAAAACAGAAATATAGATCAATGGAACAGTATAGAAAGCCCAGAGATAAACCCACACACATATGGTCACCTTATCTTTGATAAAGGAGGCAAGAATATAGAATGAAGCAAAGACAGCCTCTTCAATAAGTGATGCTGGGAAAACTGGACAGCTACATGTAAAAGAATGAAATTAGAACATTTCCTAACACCAAACACAAAAATAAACTCAAAATGGATTAAATACCTAAATGTAAGGCCAGACACTATAAAACTCTTAGAGGAAAACATAGGCAGAACACTCCATGACATAAATCACAGCAAGATCCTTTTTGACCCACCTCCTAGAGAAATGGAAATAAAAACAAAAATAAACAAATGGGACCTAATGAAACTTAAAGGCTTTTACACTGCAAAGGAAACCATAAACAAGACGAAAAGACAATCCTCAGAATGGGAGAAATATTTGCAAATGAAGCAACTGACAAAGTATTAATCTTCAAAATTTACAAGCAGCTCATGCAGCTCAATATCAAAAAAACAAACAACCCAATCCAAAAATGGGCAGAAGACTTAAATAGACATTTCTCCAAAGAAGATATACAGATTGTCAACAAATACATGAAAGGATGCCCAACATCACTAATCATTAGAGAAATGCAAATCAAATCTACATTGAGGTATCATCTCACAGTGGTCAGAATGGCCATCATCAAAAATTACAAACAATAGAGTAAGCTGTGACAAAGTGAGAGAGTGGCATGGACATATATACACTACCAAACGTAAAATAGATAGCTAGTGGGAAGCAGCCACATAGCACAGGGAGATCAACACGGTGCTTTGTGACCACCTAGAGGGGTGGGATAGGGAGGGTGGGAGGGAAGGAGACGCAAGAGGGAAGAGATATGGGAACATATGTATATGTGTAACTGATTCACTTTGTTATAAAGCAGAAACTAACACACCATTGTAAAGCAATTATACTGCAATAAAGATGTAAAAAAAAATTACAAACAATAAATGCTGAAGAGGGTGTGGAGAAAAGGGAACCCTCTTGCACTGCTGGTGGGAATGTAAATTGATACAGCCACTATGGAGAACAGTATGGAGGTTCCTTTAAAAAGTAAAGTTAGAACTCCCATATGACCCAGCAATCCCACTACTGGGCATATACCCTGAGAAAACCATAATTCAAAAAGAGTCATGTAACACAATGTTCATTGCAGCACTATTTACAATAGCCAGGACATGGAAGCAACCTAAGTGTCCATTGACAGATGAATGGATAAAGAAGATGTGGCACATATATACAATGGAATGTTACTCAGCCATAAAAGGAAACGAAATTGAGTTATATGTAGTGAGGTTGATGGACCTAGAGACTGTCATACAGAGTGAAGTAAGTCAGAAAGAGAAAAATAAATACCGTATGCTAACACGTATATATGGAATAAAAAAAAATGTTTCTGAGGAACCTAGAGGCAGGACAGGAATAAAGACGCAAACATAGAGAATGGACTTGAGGACATGGGGTGGGGGAAGGGTATGCTGGGACGAAGTGAGAGAGTGGAATGGACATATATACACTACCAAATATAAAATAGATAGCTAGTGGGAAGCAGCTGCATAGCACAGGGAGATCAGCTTGGTGCTTTGTGTCCACCTAGAGAGGTGGGATATGGAGAGTGGGAGGGAGACGCAAGAGGGAGGGGATATGAGGATATATGTATTCATATAGCTGATTCATTTTGTTATACCGCAGAAACTAACACAATAATGTAAATCAATTATACTCCAATAAAGATGTTAAAAAAATAAAAGATTTGTGTAGAGGGAAGAAAAAATCTGTTCAGTTTTGTCAAATTATTTTTCTGTGTCTATTAACGTGATCATGTGATTCTTCTTCTTTAGCCTGTTGGTATGATGGATTAATTGTTTTTCAAATGTTAAACCAGTCTTGCATACCTGAGGTAAATCCCACTTTGTTGTAGTATATAATTCTTTTTGTACATTGTTGGATTGGAGTTGCTAATGTTTTGTTGAAGAGTTTTCTGCCTATGCACATGAGAGTTATTTGTCCATGGGGTTTCTTTCCTTGTATAGTCTTTGTCTGGTTTTGTTATTAGAATGAGTTAGAATATGTAAAATAATGAGTTCAGAAGAATTCCCTTTACTTCTATCTTCTGTAAGAGATTCTAGAGAACTGGTATGATTTCTTCCATTAAATATTTGGTAGAATTCACCAGTAAGCCCATCTGGAACTGATGCTCTGCTTTGGAATGTAATTAATTATTGATTCAATATATTTAATAGATGTAGACCTATTCAGATTGTCTATTTCATCCTGTGTGAGTTTTGGCAGGTTGTGTCTTTCAAGGAGTTGGTCCATTTCATTTAGATTTTCAAATTTGTGGGCATAGAGATGTTCATAGCATTTCTTTATTATCCTTTTAATGTTTATGAGGTTGGTAGTGATGTCCCCTCTTTCATTTCTAATATTAGTAATTTGCATCCTCTTTTTTTCCTTATTTAGCCTGGCTACAGATTTATAGATTTTGCTGATCTTTTCAGAGAACCACATTTTGGTTTCATTGATTTTCTCTATTGATTTCCTGTTTTCAATTTTATTTCTTACTGTTCTAATATTATTATTTCTTTTCTTCTGCTAACTTTGGATTTAATATGCTCTTCTTTTTCTAGTTTGATGAAGTGGAAGTTTCAATTACTGACTTTAGTCCTTTATTCTTTTCTAATACATGCATTCAATGCTATAAATTTCTTTCTAAGCACTACTATTGCTATATCCCACACATTTTGATAAGTAGTGTTTTCATTTTGTTCAAAATATTCAAAAATTTCTCTTGAGATTTCTTCTTTAATCTATCTTATTTAAAAGTGTGTTGTCTAATCTCCACATATATTGAAGTTTTCCATTTTTTTCTGTTGATTTCCAGTTTTATTCCATTGTGGTCTAAGAGCAGACATTGTATGACTTGTATTCTTTTAAATTTGTTAAGGTGTGTTTTATGGCCCAAAAGGTGGTCTATGTTGGTGAATGTTCCATGTGAGCTTGAGAAGAATGTGTGTTCTGCTGTCGTTGGATGAAGTAATCTATAGATGTACATTTATACAGTTGATTGGTGGTGGAATTGAGGTCAATGATGTCCTTACTGATTTTCTGCCTGTTGGATTCGTCTGTTTCTGATAGAAGGGTGTTGAAGTCTCCAATTATGAGAGGATTTATCTCTTCCTCCTTGTAGTTCAAACAGCTTTGCCACACATATTTGAAGCTCTGTTGTTAGGCACATACATGTTAAGGCTTGTTATGTCTTCTTGGAGAATTGACCCCTTTGTCATTATGTAACATCCTTCTTTATCCTGATAACTTTCCTTGCTTTGATGTCGGTAGATCCGATTTTCTGGCCTTTATTATTTTCCTTTTCTATAAAGAACTTCTTTTAACATTTCTTACAAGTCAGAACTACTGGCAACAAATTCCCTCCATTTTTGTTTGCCTGAAAAAGTCCTTATGTCTCCTTCACTTTTGAAGGGTAATTTCACAGGGTACAGAAAATTATAGGTTGGTGTTTTTTTTCCTCAACACTTTAAATATTTTACTCCACTCTCAATTCTTGCTTGCAGTTCATTTCTTTAAGTTAAATAAATGTGAAGACATTTTGAAGACATATATCATGACCTCACTTGTTCTTCAGCGACACTACTGACTTTATGCTGAATAAGATCATAGTTTTTAAGTACTAGAAAATATTTCCTCAATTTTTTATGCATTTCACAGTGACCTGATATTTTATTTCCACCACAGAGATACAATAGATGTAAATGTTTTCAAGAGCATAGAGAATAGTAAAATGTAAAATAATTAAGAAGTAATGAGTTTTTATTCCCTTAGTTTTTGATATAATTTATTTAATTGTAAGTTTATGTAATTCAATTTTTAATAATGTAATGTGTATCAATAACCAGCTCATAAGGTTTCTGAAAATTTAACAATTGGCTCTCATGAGTTGGTAGGTGCTGGCTCCAGCACACCACCGGGTAGTGCTGTGGGGAGGATAGTTGGGTGTCAGGTGTTTGAGTGTGTGTGGGGGGGCAATGAGAATAAAGAGCACTTTCGCATATATCACCAGTTCTTATTACCCTTGTCCTCTTAGGGAGGCCCATTGGAAAGCGCCTTTGACCTGTTAAAATGGACCTTCAGTTTCCTTGTGAGCCAATAATAGCACCTTTCCCATGTTTCATATTTATAGCTTAACTTATGGAAAAGCACAAGATCTTTCTTCTGTCAACTCTAGTCGCTTCTCCTCAACAAAAAATTAGTTACAAATTCTAAACTAAGGCAGCCCCTCCAAACACAGCACAGGGCTCACTAAATTCTACCACAATGTACCCAGCAGGGAAATTGGGTTTCTGCCAGCTGACCCACCCTTGCCCACCCCCATCTCTCTGTGACTTTGGCACCAGGACCTGACTGCACGGAGAGGTGTTCTCTGAAATTATGGAACAAATCAGAAGTAAAAGGTCCATCAGCTCATTAAAGGTCAGTCATCCAAGTTCAGCTTTGAACTAACACATCCAAATTTGGGGTGGCCTGACATGACTACATCTTTTTCTTTGTATAATGAGAGTTACCAGACAGAACCACCCAGAGAGTCTTAACATCCCTTTCCAGAAGACAGCTAAGAAAGGGAGTGGGGAGCACATTTCTGCCCAAGGCTGGGGCTTGACCACAGCCTTGGGTGATTACCCAGCTCCCTTCTCGGCTCTTGCAGTCTAAGCACCTGATTTTGACTTCTTGGGAACAGCAGAGTGACTTAAAGCCTGAAAGGAGATGAGCAATCCTCGAGGCACAGGCAGAAAAAGTCCCAGTGAGACAGGAAGCCTACTGGTTCCTGATGCATAAACTAGACAGTAGAGGCAGCACTTGCCTGACAAAGAGCTCACTCTGCCGTGGCGTCTGCAAGCAGCTGCCGGGCTCCTCACCGGGCTCCCTTCCCTCTCCTCACTGGCTGATGGATCCCAAGGGGCTCCTCTCCTTGAACGTCCTGCTGTTTTTCTCCCTAGCTTTTGAGCTGAGCTGCAGAACAGGTGAGTGCTCATCTGTCTGAGGGCTTGGGTCCCATGATTACCTGCCAGGAATCAGCTGTAGCCCATGGATGGAGAGAAGAGGCAGGGGTGGCGGGTTGTTTTTCGGCTGCCTCTTCCTCAGAGACTGACTCTGAGTTCTTCCTGCCTCTTTTAAAGAGGAAGGAACATTGTGAGTTACTGGGGTCCTGGCTTCTGAGGCTAAGCCCCACCAGTCCTAGTTTCCAAGGAAACCAGGAGCTCTAAGCCAAAGGCACTGGTCACATTCTAGACCAGCCTCTCTGGGTGAGAGGCTCCAGTCAAAGTCCTGGCTGAGTGGTTGGTTTTGCATGAGTATCTTTCTGGCAAAGACCCAGGCTAAGGGAATGAGCTGTAGGGATGGAGCTCTGGGAGAATATTACTCCTACAACCCTGTCCTGGATGGGGATCCTCACACACGCAAGCAGACAAACGAAAAACATGATCCACCTACATGAAAAGACTGTAGTGCGAAGAGAGGGTAGAAGTGAAAACCCCAGGCACTGGTTGAGAACAGATAGTGGCCACAGTGTGGTCATACTGGTGGCTACTTTCCTGGAAGAGAAGGCTCCAAGGCAGCAAGAGGGGGAGAGGCCAGGATTTTTGGAGCCCAGGGCTGGTTACAGTAAGTGAGAAATGCAAATCGGAAATGCTCAGGGTCAGGGCAGCTCCAGTGTAAGGCCAGACACAAGACAAAGTGTTTGAAGCTGGGCTCTACTCCTGTCTTTCTGGTTTGCTGGTATTCTCTGTTTAGTAATAGCTGAGCTATGAGAAAAGGTGTTTGAGAAAGAAAAAGCCAAGCAAGGGGCAGACTTTGGGCTCACTGTGGAGTGGGTGAGAATCTCCTTTCTGCTTAAATGCCTTGGGACTGTGGGAAGCAGTCTGGAGTGGAAGCGGCATTAAGGAAGGGGGGACGTCCTGAGGCTCCGGATGCTCTGTTCTTGGGGTTTTCAAGACCACAAATCCATTATGGACTTTTCCAGGAGAAGCCCAGAGATATGCTAGGATTGTCAGAGGGGCTGCACTTGGGATCTGTCTTTTGCCAGATTCCCAGATGAATAGGCCTTCCTTGGCCCCACTTTTCCTCAGAATCAGGCAGACCCATGGCTCTTGCTACCCAAGGTCTCAGAGAGCAATAATTGAACTGAGGGCTCAGAAAGCCAAACGAAACCACTTTAAGCCATCACAGGGAGAGTCAAACTTTCCTGGGTGCACCGCATTTGTGACTCCACCATTTTTGGAATTCTTCTTAGTGACTATCAGGCGTGATGGGTTTGAACAGTGAGCTGGACTTTTCTGTCTCTGTGCTGGCTTGCCTCCTGGCCAGTCTGGCCCTGGCATTTCAGGTTCTGCTGACAGCTGCTGCGCGGAAAGCTTTGGAGGTCACTGGTCAGTGAGAAACAGCCCAGCCCCACAGGCATGGCTACCCAATCGGTAGTGTCTCCCTTCCTTCCTTTGTCTGCTTTGAAATATGTACAAAAATTTTAGTGTTTTTATTTTAAAATATGCACCCTTTTGTGAAACCCCAATAAAACCCAGAAGGAAATGCTTTGCAAATGGGACAGGTCATTCATGACAGATTCACCCAACCAAGAAGCCCCATTCTTGTAAAATCAGTACCTACTCCCTTTCCCATCTCTACTCAGCTCGACTTCCAATTCCCAGTCAAAACTGTAAAAATCAAGAAGTCCACATGTCCCTCCCCCAAGTAAAGTGAATTTTCCATTTCCCCCAATGATACATCTTTTAATAGACTTCATTTTTTTAGAGCTGTTTTGGGTTCACAGCAAAAGTAAGCAGAAGGTACAGAGATTTCCAACTACCTCCACACATGAACAGCCCCCCCGCCATTAACAACATCCCCCATCAGAGTGGTGCATCTCTTACAACTGATGAATCTACCCCAGTGGGATTTTTTATTCCTTCATTCAGGTCCTCCTCACATCCTTCACACACATGAGGGGAGAGGTGAGGGACAAGTGGGGGCATCCTAGACTTGGCCCAACCTTGTTGTTCACTGGCCCATTGTACCCCAAGATGCAGATCTAGGCACTTCCATCTCTCAAAAGCTTTAATACTGTGATATAATGCCACTACCTTCACTGTCTCCAGTGTTGGACTGGAAATCAGAACCTCAATGCTATTTGGTTTTATCCATAGATTGCCTTTGAACAATCCCATTCAGCAACGGTCTACTAAGGACACACGATGTGGCTAGCACTATGTGAGGTGTGGGGGAAGTAAAATGAACAACCACAGCCTCTGTCTAGCACTTGACACAGTATCTGTGAGAGCCCTTCCATGAATGTTTGTTGAATGAATAATAATAGTATGTACAGCATCCTTGCTGTATACCAAACACCGTGGTAAGTGCTTTGTGTGTATTATTCATTTAATTATCATACCAACCCTATGAGATACGTGTAGTTATTGTTACATTATGATTTTATAAAACAGGAAAAAGAGGCACAGAGCAGTTAGCAATTTCTCTTTAATCACCCAGCCTGACTCCAGAGGCCTGAATGAATGAAACTAGATAAGCTTATGTTTAGGGAGGAGGAGAATCCTAAAATTTGTTTCCAGGTACCATGGTAAAAATTAGAATATGCTGTCTATAATTGAAGGATATGAGTTGATTTTAATTGAACTGAAATGAAGTATAGGAATTTTCAAAAGGTGAGAGACGTTGACAAAATCAAAGAAGGAAGTACAAGGCATATGGAGGTATTTGATCTGGAATTTGAAAAGTGGATAGAAACATCTTTCATCATGTAGCTTTCATTTAATTTTTTGTTAACTAGTTTGTTTATTGGAAGAGTATCACATGTATGTCTATAAAACTTCAACAGTGTAAAAGGGTACAGAATGGAGACAAATCTCCCTTCTATACCCCTCCCTACTGTTACCAGTTTCTTGCATGTCCTTTTAAATGTGTACATCAGGTAGGTTGGATTCTTATATAACTTGAAAAGAGTACTCTAGATGAAGGCACAGATGCAGAGGTAAAGTGCTGTGAGTTTTCAGGGGGAACTGTAAGTGGCCTGCTGCACCTGAAACAGAGGTTTCATAGCTAAGGCACTTCTAGCTCCTCACCTGGCAAATAGGGATAAGGGTCCCCTTCATCTCCCTACATAAACAACTCTTACGGATGTTATAAAGATAAAGGAGAGTACATTCAGATTTTGGAGAGAGAAGAAATTAGACTCTGTTTTGTCATTTGTTCATTCATTCATTCATCTCATTCAGTTTTTTCATTCTCTCGGGCAAAAAGGATTTATTGAGTTCCTACCATGTCCCAGGTGGGTATTAAGATTACAGCAGTGAACAAAACAGACACAGTCCCTACTCTTGGAAACTTATAACTGAATAAGGATGACAAGCATTGAACGAGAGTTAAAAATGTCTTGAGCGATATGAAAGGAGAGATGCAAAGTGAACTGGAAGCATATGGCAGAGAAACCGAATCTAAGCCAAGGGTCAAGGGCAGAGGCCTGAAGGACAGAAGGAGTTAACCCGGCAAATAAAGAGCAGTGACAGGCTTTCAGGCTGGGGAACAGTGAGTGCAAATATTCTAAGATAGAAAGACCCAGCAGCGTCAAGGAATGGGACTAGGAGGACAGCTGGTAGGACTTCTGTTTAAAAATGAGACTTATTAAAGACACATTATCTTTTCTTTGTAAGCCTAGATTTCGCATAAGAACTGTGAGGGCTCTGAGTCCTACCTGAAAGAAATGTTGTAGCAAGATGCCCAGTAACAGGGCTGGGCCAAAAAATTGTTATCATTAGGTAGAATCCCATTTTGTGAAAAGTTTGGCTAAATGCTACTGATTTCAGGAAAATATCCACGGGCCCATGTGAATCACTCTACTTTCTAAGTTGAATTTTCCTGGAAGGAAAGTGAGTTGGTGTTAACAGCTACAAATGTTTCCTCCAGACTCTCTTAGTAACCAGGGGCTGACTGAATCACAGACCTGCTGGAAAACACTCATCAAGCAGTAGGATGTTTCAGGAGCTGGGACTCTACTTGAAGTGTTTTATGAACCACTTTAAAGTCCCCACTTATTTTTCCACTCTTGCTTAGGTGGCAATGAGTTCACGTACCCCCTGCAGACCTGGCCACTCACATGCTTAGTTGTTACATCATCATTCTTTATGTGGGTTGTAGCGTGTGAGGGTCTCTTCCTGATGAAGTTTTGATTCCACTCCCCATGACTGAGTCTGCCTGAACCACTCAGCCTTTTCTTCTCATCTGCCCTCTCTTTCTTTCCCTCTTTACCCTCTTCTTTTCTTTTTTCAAAACTTTTTTCTTTGATTTTTTTTTTTTTGACTACTCTCTGCCCCATCCTCTATTTCCTCTTCCCCCTGACTCCCTTCCAATTCCAAGTTCTGAAAACAGCCATGGTGTAAAGAGTTTGTTGGGTTACATGGGCAGAAGGGGCACACAGGAGACATGGCAGGGTGGAGACTTATGGTCTATGAATGGGTATAATTTCCATTTCTTCTTTCTCTATATTAAAATTGATCCAAAAAAATCAACAGTATGATGGCAATTCTCAACCTTGATTTGAAGCCCAGACTCCTTTGAGAGATGACATTTATGGCTATGCTCCCAGAAAAATGTACATATGCTTATTTATACCGCTTTTGTACACAATTTCAGGGGGCCTATGTACCACATGATGTTTCTCCTTGCATGGATGGTTCTAGTTTTCTGTCATCCCTTTATTGGTAGAAGTTTAAGTTCAGGATTCAAGAGGTTACTCTCTTGGGTACTGTACCTACCACATTATCTGGACAGTCAGGCATCCATAAGTGTGGCTGGAAGGAATTCCAACATGCCCTGCAGTTTATCTTTATAAAAACAGCAACACCAGCACCATGAACAGCAGTCCTTATTGAATCAATTGAGCAACAAGGGAGAGCGCTCTGTTTTAAGAGTTGATGTATTGGCAATATGTAAAAGAGCAAATGCCTAATTGTCTTTCTCACTATTCCTTAATAATTATAAGTGTCAGGAATTCTCTGGCAGTCCAGTGGTTAGAACTCGGGGCTTTCATTACCGGGGCCCAGGGTTCAATCCCTGTTTGGGGAACTAAGATCCTGCAAGCTACATGGCATAGCAAAAGAAAAAAAATACTATGTGTCCACCACTCAAATCCTGATTTTTCTTTTTTCCCAACCTCTGAATCTCTAGTCTGATATCAGCTGGGCCCTTTACAGGATCTCAGAGCATGTTGGTATCAAGAACATCTGAATCAGTTTGCCCAAATTTCCAACATCCATCTTAACCACGAGTTATTGTGTCTTTTCTAGATGGCTGCACTACTTAGGCAAACAGTTTTATTGTACTCTTCTGACTTTCTTATCAACTAGAACAATTTGTGCTCTCTCTGATTCATGGGCTCCTTCTTTTACAAACATTAGCTTATGGTTAAGTTCAACTATTAAGTTCAGTCACGTATTGGGCAGAGCTAAATAAGAGAGGTTTTAGTCAGGTAACATGGCTTTCAGCATTCATAAATTGAACAGATATTTATTTAAAGCCTACTATGTGCCAACCACAATTGTGAGTCCTAGGGACAAAACAGTGAACAAGATCAAATTCTTCCTCTTGAGAAGTTGGCATTCTAGTGTTTAACACTAGAATAAAATAAAATAAATAAAATAAAATAAAATAAAATAAAATGAATAATATATACAGTATAACATCAGACAGTGATAAGCACAACAAGAAGGGATAGGATAGGATAGGTAGGATAGTCAGAGCAGGTCTCTCAGAGAAGATGATTTTTTGAGCAGAAATCTAAAATAAAATGAGGGAATGAGCTCTTTAGATATGTACGGGAAGAGATTGCCAGAAAGAGAGAGAGAGAACAGCAAATGCAAAAGCTCTGAGATGAGAATGTTCTGGATGAGTTACAGACCAGCCGGAGCCAGTGTGGCCATAGTGCAGTGAGGACAGGAGAAGGAGTTGGAGAGGTACCAGGGATTGGGTTATTCAGTCTTTGAAGCAATAACAGGGACTATGGATTTTATTCTATGGGTGCTTAGAAAGCCCTGGAAGATTAAAAGCAGGAGAGAGACAAAATCTGATATAGTTTTAAAAGGTTACACTGTCCATTGCATGGATGCAGGGAGATTAGTTGGAAGACAATGGCAGGGCCAGGCTGGTGATGATGGTGGTTGAAAGTCCTGAGATGCCAGATATATTTTTAGGGCAGAGTCAACAGGATTGCTGATAGATTGAATGTGGAGTATCAGAGGAAGAAAGGAGTCAAAGATGATTCCAGTGTTTTGGCCTAGGAATTGTAATGTTGTTTGCAGAAGGGGCTATAGAATCAAGAGTTCATTTGCTAAGTTTGAGATGTCCTTTAGACCTCCAAATACCAATACCAATCAGTGTAGGCAATTTGGAGTACTGTGAAGGGTTTGGGTAAGAGATATATCTCTGTAAGCATTCCAGAAACATGTCAAACTATGCAACTAGATAAGTGTGGCTGAGAAAGAGAAGAGTTCTGAGTACTGAGTCCTGGGATGCTCCAGTCTTTAAGAGCAGAAAGTTTCAGGCAAGGAGACTGAGAAAGGGCAGCCAGTGAAATAGGAAGAAAACCAGGAGAGTGTGTTGTTCCCCAGGCCAAATGAAGGCAGTGTTTCAAAGGGGGAATGTGAACAATGCCAAGTGAAAGCAAGATGAGAAAGCAAGGATGAAGATGGAGAAGTGACTTAGTATCATGGAATATACAGTGACCTTGACAAGAGTGGTTCCAATGAGTAGTAAGGAGAAGGCCTGTCTGGAGTGGGTACAAGGAAAAATAAGTCAGGAAATGGGGACAGAAGGTATAAACACACATTAAGGGACTTTGGAATAAAAGAAAACAGAGAAATGGGGAGGTGGCTGGGGATGGACCTGGCACCAGGGGAGGGGTTTTTAAGATTAGGGAAATTACATGTTGGTATGTTGTGTGTTAGTAAAAATAACCCACAACATACCATAACAATAACAAAGTTGATGATGCAAGGGGTGGGGGAAGTTGCAGAAGCAAAGCCTTGAAGTGAGTGAGTGCTCCATGAAGGAAGAGGTTAACCTTATCTGGGAGCAGAGACCATCCATCCAAGTAGGTAGGTTGACTTGGTGGTAGAAACAAATGGAAGTCCTCTTTTATTTCTTCTCCTTTTTCAGTGAAATGAGAAGCAGGGTCATCAACTGAGGTTGTGGGGGTTTTTTTGTTTTTTTTTTTTGGTTATTGTTGCCTCAGCTTTTTTGAAAAAGAGAAGTAAAATAATTTTTCACCCTTGACATTGTTAAATATCTTAGCTTTTTGGGGAGTTAGGATTCCACAGTTTGAATATGAGGCTCATCTCCTCCTGGACTCCACATCCCTCAGACTTTTCTCTTTCCTCCTCATCTGAAATGATGTTTCTTAACCTTGGTCTCTTGGGCTCACAAGCTCAGAATTAGTTTCAGTTACTCTCCATTCTTCATGCTATATATCCAATGGTGGTGGGAAGTCTGGCTGAGGAATTAATCCAGTTACTAGTTATATGACTTTAGGCAAGTCATTTAACTTCTCTATGCCTTAGGTGCCTTAACTATAAATCTGAGTTGATAGAATTCCCTCCTGGATCAAAGAAACCCAGAGTCCTAATTAGTCTATACAGCTCTATCGTAAGTGATTTTAAGATTTCCACTGTAATTTTTGAAAACTGAGAATATAGTGGGAAATACTGAGAATATAGTGGGATCCTCATGACAGTCCTTATAAACTACTAAGGACCTGGCAACCCCAGGGATTGGCCAAGAGGAAGAGGGAGATCATCCAGTCTATTATTCCTGATCCACAGACAGGATGTGAGTCTCAAAGGCTTCCATAATAAGGGACTTCGTTCTCCTTCCTCCTGCAGGTGAGGGCTCAACGAATTGCCCAGTGATGATCCTTGGGCGGCTGGTGCTGCTGCCCCTGACATCTGACGGGATAAGTAAGAGCATGAATAAGAGTATTCACATCCTTGTCACAATGGCAGGATCACCCATGGACACCGTCAAGAAGAAAATAGTGTCTCTGGATCTGCGGAAAGGTGACTCTCCACACCATCTGGAGAATGGCTATGAGTTTCATCCAGAAAACCTGAGCCTGAGGATCCTGAAAAGCAGGAAGGAGGATGAGGGCTGGTACTTTATGAGCCTGGAGGAAAACATTTCAGTCCAGCAATTTTGCCTGCAGCTGAAGCTCTATGGTAATGATGGTGGCTTCCCCAGTCCCCACTGGAGGGATGAGATAGTTCCTTGCCTAAGAATTTAGGCCTCTCTCAGAAGCAAAGAGTATTCAGAGTTGGAAGCAACTTGAAAGACATCTCAGTCCAGGGGTAAACCGTCCTTCAGGAAGAAGTTTTAGAAGTTCACAAATCTTTTTTTCATCCAAATTGCACGTTAGTGATAGCTGATTAGCACAAGTTACCTTTAACCCCATTTTCTTGGGGCTCCAGGCCCTCTTGCCTACAGCCCCTCTGCCTGTTGACAAGAGGGTCTGGAGCCCCAAGAGTCTCAATTTACAAATAAGATTTTATTTGAAAAAAGGTGTTTTTTTAATAAAAAAATTTTTGAATACCACTGATCAAGCTCAATCTCGCTTTCATAGATGAGGACACTGAAATCTAGAGATAAGTGGTTTGCACGTTCCTACTCACATCTGCGTAGGTGGGTTCACTGCACTAGGAGTCCTGGGAGACGGAGGGCTGAAATTCAGCCCACACATCACTCACCAAGCCCCGCATCCTGGCAGAGGATTGCATCTACCTGGTGGAAGAGGCATATTTTTCTCATTTAAACAAATGCTCTGATTATAAAATTGCTTAGTTGCAGAACTTAAACTAGAACGTAGGTCCACCTAAATCTAAGGCCAGTGCATTTTTGAGCCTCTTTAACTGCCAGCCCCTCTTGAACACACCCAGAGTTTGTCTCTTAAGTCCCAAGGCTCCCTTGAATTCCCAGGGATCCTGGCAGCCATGCGGGCTACCCTGCTTCTTCAACAGTGAGTTTCTTATCTCTGAGGATGGGACAGGAGCCCCAAACAGCCAACATTTCTTTAAAATCCTCAGGTACCAACAAGAGAGACAGAAATACCCTCCCTGCCCTTCCCCTGGCCCTAGCATTCCCTTCCCTCCAAACAGTGTATGCAGAATTCCCACAGCCCTCCACCAGGTATCAGTGTGTCCTGATCATTCCAATAGTGTTCCCGGGGCAAGGCTGCCATGAGCACAAAGATTACACATTCATTTTCTAGAACAGTTCACTGCCTTTGTCACATCTTCTCTTTTATGATCAAATTCTTACCTTAGAAAATATGGTTCCTGCAACCATGGTGTTCTTCTCAAGTCAAAGAAAGAGTCTGGATCTTGGAGTCAGAAAGACGTAGTTTCAGATCTCAGTTTGGCTGTTAGAAGCTGAGTGGCATTATGTAAGACACTCCACCTCTCTGGGTCTCAGTTTCCTCATTTATAAAATGGGAATAATTATAACTAGGTTCATAATTGTTGAGAAAGTTGTTGAAAAGATTAAAAAATATTACAAATGTGAAATTCTAGCATTATGCCTGTCCTATAGTATGTACTGAATAAATAAGACTTTCCCTTTTACTTTGTCTATTTCACAGCATTAGAGTGAGATAAGTTGGTGAGGCCTGTGGCTATCCCAATTTCAGACACCCTAAAGCACTTGCTATAACACACACACACACACACACACAAACACACACACACACACAGAGTATAGATGAAATCTCACCAGTAAAAAGTCATTTTTTTCGATCTGGAAGGTAATAATTTAGCCAAAGACAGTTAAAACCCATGGGGGAGTTAGCTGACAGCAAACTCCACAGGTAGAATACAGGAGAGCAACCTAGATGAGGAACAACAGAAAGGCAAGGGGAGTCCTAACAGTACTGGTTGGGGGGAACTCAAAGACAATGTTTTCTTCTCTATTTTATCCCAAGGTGATCCTGGAAAGAAGTATGGGGGAGGGGCATATGAGAGAGGGATGGTGCGAAGCAGTAGGTCCCCACAGAAATAAATCACACTACAGATCCACGGGCGGGGCGGGGGGTTTGCATTTTCTTCTAACAAGAAGGTTAAGTCAGCATTCCAGAGGATTCATTTCAGTGATGGCTCCCTTTCTCCTCCTCCTGACAGAGCAGGTCTCCACTCCGGAAATTAAGGTGTTGAACTCCAGCCAGGAGAACGGGAACTGTAGCCTGATGCTGGCCTGCATGGTGGAGAAGGGGGACCATGTAGCTTACAACTGGAGTGAGGAGGCGGGCACCCCTCTGCTGAGCCCCACCAAGAACTCCCACCTCCTGTATCTCACCCTTGGCCCTCAGGATGCCAACAACATCTACATCTGCACCGTGAGCAACCCCATCAGCAATGGCTCTCAGACCTTCATCCCGTGGTCCAGATGCAGCCTCGGTTCCTCAGGTGAGTGCCCTTGTGGCGGCTAGTGTGCCACATTAATGATATGGGTGCAGTCCCCACCTGGACCAATTGCTCTTCTTCCATAGCCATGGTCTTCACCTTGGGAACAACACTTTATATGTTCTCTATAGTTTGTAAAAGCCTCCCATGTGCATTCAGTGAGTGGTTACTGTTCATAATGACCAGGGTGGCATTATGCTCAATTCAGAGTTGAGGAAACCAATGAGAAACGATGGAGCCAGACCCGGAGCCCAGGTCTCAAGTTATGATCCTTCCTCTCCCCTCCTGCCGTGGCACCAACCTGAAAGGCTGGCCGGGTGAGGGAGTGCAGGTGGCAGGTCCTGACTCCCAAGTCCATGCTCTACCAGTGGTGGGATTGTTCTACACCATCAATAAGAATTTATCAATCACCTATGCTGTAGAAAATTGGGAATAGACATGATAAATGACCTCTGCTCTCCGTCAACATGTTATAAAGATAAGACATGAAACATGTGCTCAATAATGAAAAGCAGGATGTAATAAAGGGCCACATTTCATGAAATGTACTGTGAATCCCATAGCAGGTCAGAGGGCCAGGGTAGTCAGTTCTCTGACTAAGACCTAGACTGTGAAGTCTGGGAAAATGATAAGTCATAGAGCACTTTATTATTGGCAAAGCGCTTTCAACTGTATGATCTCTTTTGATCCTCACAATGGTCTTATCAGATAAATGTTGTCATCATCTTCATTTCACAAATTAGGAAGTTTAAGCTCATAGCATGTAAGTACCCTCCTCAAGTTTCTTCAGCTTATAGATGGTAGAGTCAGCACCTAAACCTAGATCTTCTGACTGATCTTTCTCTGGAAAGATAAAGCATCATTATTCTGTTATCAAAAGGAACGAAGGGCTGATTAAGTAAGCTCAACTAACCACTTGAGATTGGAAACAGGATAGACCACTGAGCTTTTTCATTAATCGATCTTGTGTCCATGCCTCAGGTAGGCTCAGGGACAGAAGAACCAGGGTGCTGGCCCTGCAAGGTATTACTTTTGCTCTGACATTCTTCCCTCTGCAACCACTGGGGGGAAACAAGAGTCATTCCAAGGGGACTCCTGCCCACAGTAGACTTGGTGTATATGTGGAGGGCTTTTCCAGATGACCAAGGATCCAGGGACAGGGGAATGCAGCCAGGTCATGCCCTTCAGCATAGCATGTCCAGTCAGTGACTCCCCTGAGGTATTCCAGAGGGACTACTGGGAAAATCTACCTGGTCTCTTCATCTGAAAGTTCGTTGGTGAGCCTAACCAACTGCCTGTTTCCTCCCCCAGCCATTCATGGCAGAGTTGGCCACCTGTCCACCCACTCAGTGTGTCTGTCTGCTTGCCCACCTTGCACACAAGCCACATTCACAGGCTCCTCCCCCAGTTCAGACCTCTCTCTCTGCCCACAGCTATTCAGAATGTGCCGGTGGGATCAAGAAAGCAGTCTTGCATGAGTGCGGAGTTTAAAGAACGTGGCCCCAGTTGTCCTAGATCCAATATTACCCTTTTTACTCACAAGGATAAGCCACTTAACCTGTCTAAGACTTAGATTCTTTCTAAAATACTAACAGCTGAAAGGTCTTAATTGTTTACTATGTGTCAGTATGTGGCATCTCATTTAATCCTCCCAGCAACCAAATAGTATTAGTATCCCCACCTTACAGATGAGGAAACAAAGATATAGAAAGGTCACACACAGAGCAAGGGGCAGAGCTGAGTTGTCTGATTCTGAAATCCTCATAGGTACTAGTGGAACAGATAATACATTTTCTAAATGCCTTATAAATCATAACAAAAATGTGTGTATTTCCCCCAGGGCTGAGGAAGTAGTAGCCCTTACCCCTGCCCAGCCTTCTCTGGTCATAGCAACCCTCTTAGAGTAAAGACAGGGCACCAAATGTTTTACCCTGACCCACCTCAGAAAAGAGGAATAATTCTCTTCATGCTCCTCAATATAGTTTAATGAGAATTTAATCAATGTTTTCCAAAGTCTTGGCCATAAAGCTTCGCCTAGGGGCATTTAGCTCAGGACATTCTTAAGAAACATATAGGGACTCCCTGGTGGTGCAGTGGTTAAGAATCTGCCTGCTAACGCAGGTGATACGGGTTCAAGCCCTGGTCTGGGAAGATCCCACATGCTGTGGAGCAACTAAGCCCATGCGCCACAACTACTGAAGCCCGCGTGCCTAGAGCCCGTGCTCCGCAACAAGAGAAGTCACCGCAATGAGAAGCCCGCGCACCGCAACAAAGAGTAGCCCCCGCTCGCCACAACTAGAGAAAACCTGCGCACAGCAACGAAGACCCAATGCAGTCAAAAATAAATAAATTAATAAATTAATTTTTTTCAAAAAGAAAGAAACACTTAACCACTGGTGGTCCAGTGGTTAAGACTCTGTACTTCCACTGCAGGAGGTGCGAGTTCGATCCCTGATCAGGGAACTAAGATCCCGCATGCCGTGCAGTGCAGCCAAAACTAAAAAAAAAAAAAATGCTCTTACGCATCTAAGCCACTTTGAGGACCAAGTATGCCCTAGTGTGACCAGATTTACTGGGTATGGAGCAGGCTTTTGCGAGATGGGGAAGGAAAAGAAGAAGCGGAAACATGGCACCATGGGAAAGCCCTGTCAGGACCTCAGCTCAGGCATTAAGACAAATACCCAGCAGCCACTGCACTTTCTTGGGCCTCTGTTTCATTACATGTGAAATGAAAATGGTGAACTAGTGACATTCTTTCCAGAGTAAATATTCTATGATTCAGTTTGTATGTACCTGAATAAGAAATGCTAATAAAGCGTTACCAAGGTATATTAGTTTGCTAGGGGTGTTGTAAAAAGATTCCATAAACTGAGTGGCTTATATAACCAAAATTTATTGTCTCACAGTTCTGGAGGCTAGAAGTCCAAAAGTAAGGTGTCGGCAGGGTTGGTTCCTTCTGAGGGCTGTGAGGGAAGGATCTGTTCTAGGCCTCTCTCCTTGGCTTGGAGATAGCTGTCTTCTCCTTATGTCTCTTCACGTTGTCTTCCCTCTATGTGTATATCTGTCCAAATTTCCCCTTATTATAATGACACCAGTCATGTTAGATTAGGACCCACCTGTACTTAGTTTGCTAGGGTTGCCATAACAAAATACCAAAGACAAAGTGGCTTAAATAACAGAAATTTATTTTCGCAAGTTCTGGAGGCTAGAAGTCCAAGATCAAAGTGCCGGCAGGGTTGAGTTTTTCCTGAGGGCTCTCTCCTTGGCTTGTAGATGTCTACCTTCTTGCTGTGTCTTCACACAGTCTTTCCTCTGGGCATGCTCGTCCGTAGTGTCTCTTTGCGTGTCCAGATTTCTTCTTCTTATAAGGACACCAGTAAGACTAAATTTGGGTTCACCCTAATGACCTCATTTTAACTTGATTACCTCTGTAAAGACCCAGTCTCCAAATAAGGTCACATTCTAAGGACTTCAACATATGAATTTTGGGGAAACACATTCAACCCGTAACACAAGTAAAGATCCCCTCCCCTGCCTCCAGGGATGGGGAACCACAGCATGTCAGAAACAAATCACACAGCTAGTTTGTGGCATGCCGTTCGCAGTAAACCAGGTTGCCTAAATATGGAGAACAGAGTTTTGTTAGTTCATTGATTTGTGTTTGCAAATGAATGTCACTAATTTTTAAAATACTGTGCTTAGTTAGACAAAACATTTGCTGAGGTTCTACTATGTTCCAACATTGTGTTAGGTGCTGAGAACACAAAGACCAAAAAAGACACAGTCCTTGCCCTTAAGGAAGGAATAGTTCTAAAAATAACTAATTATCCCAGGTCTGGTAATGCAACAGGTGCAAAACAGAAGTACGTGCAAGTTAAGCAAGAGGAGGGAATGATTGACACTGTCTCAGGGAATCAGAAAGAGCATCACAGAGGATGTGACATAAACAAAGTTTTGAAGAACAAGTAGAAATTACCCAAGCAGATAAAAGAAAGACATTCCAGGAAAAGGAAAAGGCAGATATAACTGGGTCTTGTTCTGTATTATCCTATAGTATCCTGATGGGAACTAATAGATAGTTTTAGGTAGAGGAGTAACACGATCAGCTTTGCATTTCAGAGAGAAAATTCAGTGGTGTGGAGAATAGATTGGGGTGGGGAAGAGGCAGAAGAAAGAGAAACTAGTTATGAGGCGGGCCCATTATTTCAGTCACCCATCAAGGGATGATGAGACCTGAACCAGAGCAGTGGCTGTTTGTTTAACAAAGGCTCCATTCAAGGGAAACCCCAGCCTTGGGCTGAAGCGGTGGGGTGTGAGGGTTTATTAGAGGTCACTTCACCATCTATAATGAGGACAGTGATTTTAAGATATTTTTCACTTTCATTAATGAAAAACTCAAAGTGGTTAATGATGTGATGAGAGCAAATGAGACATGATGTCAGCACTGCTTCTCATCAGGACTCAAACTGAAGAGCAAAAGAACATATTTGGGGCTTCCCTGGTGGCACAGTGGTTGAGAGTCCGCCTGCCGATGCAGGGGACACGGGTTTGTGCCCCGGACTGGGAAGATCCCACATGCCGCAGGAGCGGCTGGGCCCGTAAGCCATGGCCGCTGGGCCTGCGCGTCCGGAGCCTGTACTCTGCAGCGGGAGAGGCCACAACAGGGAGAGGCCCGCGTACGGCAAAAAAAAAAAAAAGAACATATTTGTTCCTCAAAATCTTTTCTTTCTTTTTAAAGGTAAATCTATTTTTATTTTATTTATTTATTCATTCATTTTTTGGCCACACTGCATGGCTTGTGGGATCCTAGTTCTCCAACCAGGGATGGAACTAGGGCCCCCTGCAGTGGAAGCGTGGAATCTTAACAACTGGACTGCCAGGGAATTCCTGTTCCTCAAAATCTTTTCTTTCTAACAACTGTCTAGGCTCTCCATCATATATAAATCTTTATTCCAACTGTTATCTCAGTGTTTTACAGCAAGAAACACCTTCATGTCTATTGT